AATATATTATATTTTTTAAATATTTTATATGCAAATTTTAATAATTATTTTATAATATTATATATATAACTACATTGAAATTTGTTCCTTGATGTTTTTCATTCTATCACACTGTGCAATAAAGCAATTATCAAATGTGATTATATTATGAATATGAATCATGTTATTATAATATAAGGATATATAAAATAAAATATACATTTTTAAAGCAAATATGTACATAATTAATGCGTCCTAAAAGCTATAAAGTTAGTCCTTTTACTTTTCGAATGTACATCTTTATTAAACAAATACAGTTGACGTCTTAATATTATTTATAATATGTCGTTATAGATAGTATTTCATTTTCCTAGCCTGTGCAGCGTGTATATGCGGCCGCGCTTATGTGTGTATATGTGTATATGAATGTGTATGAAGTGTATGTACGTTAATATGTAAGTGTATGTTTGTCTGTGTATGATACTATTGCTAATATTTCTCTTGTCGAACGATTCTCAATTACAGGATAACAAGGTAATTTGACATTTCTGTGCGTCACGTGCAGACGCACTGAATAACTCAGTGTGTCACACGTTTAAATCAAAACTTGTGTTACAATCTTTTCTTCACCTTTTTCCATATTTCACATCACTTAATGACTTTGAAACTGTGCTTAGCGTACAGATAGTATCAGTATTAATAATTAAATTCCTTAATGGTACTATATCGTTACTTAACCTTATTAGTTAACACACAATCAATCTGCGACGGGAGGGAATTTAGTCGGTCCGTAACATTTCGCTTACGGCCTAGCTATATAGTCGGTATAGTTGATTATTTAATTCATTACAACATTACCGTAGGATTGATAGTATTTTATCTCTTTTTTTTCTTTTGAAATGAGTTTTGAATTACGTGACAGACACGTACCTACGCATGTAATTTCTGTGGCCTTTTCTTGCATCAAAGGGTACTTAACATTTATATACGAATTAGAGGCGAGAGCGTACTATTGCGTATCTGTCGTGCCCCCAAGTGCTCTAACAAATTCGGATCAAGCATTTTGCATTCAGGAACAGAAATTCGCGGTTTTCTAAGTATCATAGTAATTCTTATAATCGCGAACAATATACTCCTGAATTGTTTCAGCTTGGACCGAAAATTGAAAATATTCTGTAGACTATTTAGGCGAATGGTACGTGTAAATGTCAAAGAGTATGTATATTTATATACGTAAACATACATACACGGATACATGTGCATATGTATACGTACACTAGCTGCCTACAAAATACAATAGTACATTACAAATTCATACCATCTTTTTTTCTTTCTTTTCTTTCCTCCTTTCATCTCTTAAATCATCATTTGCAAACAGCTTAGATATATTTTTATGTATAATATATATTATAATAGTATCATCTAGTTGGTTTTGTTCTGCGTAGTTCCATTTTTTCTCTTTTTTTTTCTCCATACAATTAATATAATTAAGTACATCTTTAGAACAGGCGTGTGTACACCTAGTTAGGTTGCAATGGTGTCGTTCTCTCTTATGAATATTTTTTCGCTAGCAGCCGAGAAAAACGAGTTTTTTTGATATACATATACATATCATCTTGCTCCAAATGGCTCGTTAGACCGGATAACAAAAAAAATGCTCCCTTTCTGTACTCTAGTTGTCGACGGATATTCTTCGTTGACTTTCAGTACAGAATACATTGCGATTTAAATTCTCGCGTTTCTAATGTTGCGAAAGTCAGCATTTTAATTCTTTGTGCAGTTGTTAAATTTTATACTTATGCCGTGTAAAAGACTCAAGAAAGGGTCTGTGAAGGAGTGTGTTGTGCGATCGAAGAAGGAATCGGTCAATCAAATTTCTTTTTCTTTCTTTTTTTTTTTTTTTTTTTTTTTTTTTTTTTAATAGAGCACATGCGACACACGTGCCTGCGCTTTTCAATTTTTCTCTGTAAGTTTCCACGGGAATAATCGAATCAATCATAATATTGAAAAATTTATAAATCTCTCATCAAATTTCTTTTTCTTTCTTTTTTTTTTTTTTTATTAGCGCACATGCGACACACGTGCCTGCGCTTTTCAATTTTTCTCTGTAAGTTTCCACGGGAATAATCGAATCAATCATAATATTGAAAAATTTATAAATCTCTCATCAAATTTCTTTTTCTTTCTTTTTTTTTTTTTTTTTTTTTTTTTTTTTTTTTTTTTTTTCTCTTACGACTCATGATAAATTCTATGATCCCCGATGTATATATGTATATGTATGTAAAGAATTTATAGCCCCATAAAAAAAGAAATTCATATATAATTGTTAAACATAATTATTTCTCAAATATTATACTATTTAAATTTATATATTCAGAAATAATTGAATTGCATTTGCAATAACTACAAACTAAAATTGTAAATTAGATGAGAGATTTATAAATTTTTCAATATTATGATTGATTCGATTATTCACGTGGAAACTTACAGAGAAAATTTGAAATGCGCATACACGTGTGTCGCATGTGCGCTATTATAAAAAAAAAAAAAGAATTAAATAAAATAAATAGCAGCATAACATTGTTTCCTTCACTTTTAGCGATCATTATTATTTTTTATTTTTTTTTTTTTTTGTTTCTTTTATTACACTTCGAATACTTAATCGCGCCATTTTGTTCTTCCTCGATCAAATGGAAAGAAAATGTATATAAATAACGCACTTATTCTTTATCTTAACATAATTAAAAGAAAAGTAAAATGAAAATGAAAAAAAAAAAAGAAATTTTCTTTTATAATAAAGATGATAGAAACGAATCACGATTATGGCAAGTAATGTCACGATAACGAGTTGATATATAGGAGCCCTTTACGAAAAGTTTTTAAACTTTTGACAAATCTCTTATAAAAATGATATGATATGCTCGTTGGAAAAATAAATTGTTCATATAGTTTCTATGAATATAGATATCCGTACACAAACTTTCAATACTAAATATTCAATCGGTCGGTATAATTCTAAATACATAGATACATACACAAAATCCTCTCATTACTTCGTAGCGAGTATCAATGCGCAGTTATTTACGAGATCATTCGTCGATAATTAATACCCTGCGGATCATTGCACGTACGAGGCATACATTCGAATGATACAGTGAACTACATTTGCTCACCTAGAAATACATATTTCCCTTTTAATACAAAACAATAGAATACACATTTTCGCTTAATATATGGTATGACACATCCCGCTTTTCTTTTTTTAATGAACATGCAAGTAGTTCATGTATCAACGAACGTGCGACATTTTTCTTACGCATCTGTCCCTTAATACCTATGCCGTTATAATAGTTAATGTTTTAAAATACAACAACAGTAGAGCAGTTTGCATTCGAGATGTTCCTCGAGTGGTACGCCTAACATGCGATAGATACTGATAGGAAATCAGTTTGAGTGTTCGCTATTAAAATATAGAGTAGAATTCAACATACTAGTCGCGTAAAGGCACATAAAAATCAGTTTCTCTATGAAACGAGTACGATTGCACGATAATCCTTTAAAAAAATAACAAACGATATCCTTCGCTGGTCGAATTGCTGCGCATTATTTTTCAATAAATAAATTGACTCCATTGTATAAACGGAGGTGCGCTCCTCACCACAGAATAATGATCGGACGCTGTATGTATATGTAAGTACACATGTTTTTTTTTTATTTTCTCTTTTTTTCTTTTTCATGCACATACACATGTACTCCATACAGTCTGTATACGCAATGAACTTGCATACAAATCTATATGCATGCGCACACATGTATACGGATATGATATTATACCGTACTTAATGGTGAAGCACTATCATAAGATGCGCGGCAATGTCCTTACTAAGAGCTAAGAGTTTTTTTTTTTTTTGTAGATTGATTAGGAAGGAACATTGTGCAAATTATATTAGAGGTTTTCCTTTTTTTTTCCTTTTTACTTAAAAATAAAGTGGAAAATTGGGCAAGTATTATACGATGGCCTAGGCTCAGCCCGATTTTACGTGCTACAGATTAGAAATATATATGTGTATATATATTACTTTTTTTATTGTTTATTTTCATTGATAGCATACTAATAATAAAATGGGCATATACAATTTTTTAAATACTTATTTTAGTCGAATATGAAAGACTTGATTGTTATGAAAAAAATATAGATATATATATACTTATGAGATCAAATGTCGAGTTAAAATGTTTAGTTATAGATAAAAAAGAGTAAAATATACATATTCAATTAGATAACAGTCAGATTACGTTATCGGGCTGTCCTGTGTATCAAAGGAAATTATATTCAAATATATAATAGCAATATATATAATAATCAGCGTTAGTAAATATTTGTAACAGGTAATAGTGGAATAGAATAAAATAGAATAAAATAGAATAAAAGGAGGAGAAGATAATTAAGAGTATAAAAAGTTCCCTCATCCTATTACTATTAATAATAAA